GACGAGAACCGATGCATCACGTTTACATAACACCCCCCCCAAAAAAAGTGTCTTTTATTTCATTACAAACGCTTCTGTGACCATTTACTCCCCCTAATGGAGAGGGTTGAGTGTAGCGGCGCAGAGAGGGCGGGGAGGCAGGGTTTTCAGGAGGAACGCTGGAGAGCAGTGAGAGCCGAGAGACTCCTCTCTCAGGTAGACAGGGCCCCACAGCCGGGCCCCTTCCTCCACTGGGCTCGACTACAGCCAACACATCCTCTTGCTCGCTTCGTGGAGCTTCTGGTGCTTTCGACAAGGCGGATATTTGGATGAGAAGCCCTTGCACACATCAGGAAGGGTTTTGTTCTTCTAAGCCCACTGCCACAAGATTTTTGTTTCTTCCCGTTGTTTAACTTGGCCTTGCAAATGGCCAGATTTCCTTAACAACATTCCTCCTTTAATTAGCTAAGCATCGTTTCATCCTCTGCCAGTGATCTGTGGCAGAGGGTTTTTTTTCCTCCTCTCGTTAGTGGAGCCATGCTGCGGCTGAGGTTACGATGTGTGTGAAAACATCTTTCTGAGAGCAGGTGCCAGTGTTCTGCATGGAACAGAGCAAACGGAAAACAGGCCTGCAAGATCTCGGCTTCAGACCAGGACCTGGGGGCACTGAAAGGGGAATAAAACGTAATGGAAATTAATCAGGAACTGGGGTCTCTAGCCAGTCATATTTCCTATTTAACTGTACTGGCAGTTTGACAGGAATTGTGGAACCATGCTGTCACTTTGATCGGATGCCTTCTCGGGACACCAGTGGGGGAGACATAAAGATGTGAGAAACAGATTCTCCTTTAGACCACTTCTCCTGTTGCAACTACCTCTCCCCAGGCAGTTTGAAGGTACAGGCCTGAAATGACTGAAACACCCATCCACAGCTCGGGCCTTACAAATGACTCACACTGCTGGACTTGAGACCAAAACTAGGACCAACCAAAATGGGGATGTTTCAACTTGCAATGCAAGTCCTCCGGCTTAAGCTTATGTCAAGACCTGTCTCAAAGGCCACTCACGTCCGGCTGTACAAGTGCCACAGTCTGAAAGATTATAAATCAAGACACGACCCAGTGATTTCAGATCCTTGTCTAGGGGACCAGTCCATCATGAAGTAAGCTGTTAAGAGAGGGATCTTTGACCTCTGCTCCTGGAGAGCCCCTACCCCAGATATCATCAAATCAATGATTTCTAGAGACCTAGAACAATTTCTCCATCATCAGACAAACAGGTGATTTTCTTTTAAAACTGAGCAATTTAGAGACCTTTCGAGACCAAATTCTGAGGACCCTTCAGCCTTCAAGGCCCAGGATTAATTAATGGAACAAAACTACTTGCTTAATAGCTCCACAGCTCACACCTGCACCTCATATAAAAAATAGGTGTTTTGGGTGACCTGTAAACCTAACTGAATTGCGGCTCCCCAGGACCAGGACTGGAGACTCCGTAATGCCCTATTGCACTGGGGTACAGGGAAACGCTCACAAGCACTAAGCTCACGATCTGTCGTTTCCTGCCAGCGGCGTGAGGTGGCCAAGACTGTCTTCTGCCTGGTGGTGATCTTTGCTCTGTGTTGGCTGCCCCTCCACCTGAGCCGCATCTTGAAGAAGACCATCTATGACCAGAATGACCCCACCCGCTGTGAGCTGCTCAGGTAAGGTCTTAATCCACCCTCTGCTCATCTGCATTGCAGAATATCAAGCAGGGCAGAAATGAGAAAAAGACACCTGTTTCCTGTCTTTTTTTCCTAGTATAACCTCCAGATATACCAGCTCTCCAAAACTAGGCTTTGACATCCCTACAACATGAAAATCTACCCATAAAAAACTATAATTGCACCTCTCCCATTTTTTTTCCATTAGCTTCCTGTTGGTGATGGACTACATTGGCATCAACATGGCATCACTCAACTCCTGCATCAACCCCGTTGCTCTTTACTTTGTGAGCCAGAAGTTCAAGAACTGCTTTCAAGTAAGACCAGGAGGAGGGGAGGGGGGGGGTTGGGATATTGTCTCCTTCTTGCTTTGCTTTAGAAAACAGGTGTAGGAAAATTTGGTTTTCAGAAAAAGACCAGCAGATTTGGCAGGTGCCATTCATGGCAGCCCAACTTGTAGGCTACACGATGCGAACAAAAAATGTCTACTTTTGCTTCGTTGAAATGTCCAGAAAAAATAAGAATATGACTGCTCAGCAGTTTAAACCAGTCCCGGGCTGTGGTAAGTTCCAGCCTGCTGTGCCTCACCTCTCCGAGGTGGTAGATATACCATCACAGTTAGCATTGCCATCAGGTACACTCTGCTGCTAAAGCAGGAGGGCTGGAGAAACAGCTCTAGTTCGGAAAGAGCACTGAAGTGTCCTCAGTTCAGATGGAGGGCGATTCATACCTATGAAAATCGGTCCATAGTCCGCTATCGAGTCTGCTGCACCACCGGAGCGTCAGATTGAAACGTGACGAACCGTGGCCCATCCGCACGCAAGGAGGTGGCCAAGCGGGGCGCCTGATCCCTCTCTCTGCTCTGTCCCCCCAGTCCTGCCTGTGCTGCTGGTGCCAGAGGCCCAGCAGGAACATCGCCCCGACCGACGAGAGGGGCTCAGCGGCTCGCTGGAAGGGGCACTGCCACGAGAACGGGCTGGACCGGAGCAGCTCGCGATCCAGCCACAAGTACAGCACCTCCTAGACGGTGCCCGCAAAGGGGGGCACTTGGGCAGTTGGGCAAAGAGCAGGGGGGCGGAGGCCAATAAACAGGACTGCTCTTACCCTCCCGACACATCCACCCACCACCCCCCCCCCGCCTGCTGGCACCAACTCGGCTCTACAAGACCAGACCGCACAGAACCAGACAACCAGGCTCTTGCGAGACGTAGCTCAACCTGGGATTCCCTTCAAGGAAAACCACAAAGTAGCTGAACTTACTGTGGTAAGAAATCCAGAGCAACATGCATTCGGGACTTTGGCCTGTTAACAATGCAGCTGGACAACCAGACTGGGACATGGAACTTCTCTCTCCACGATCCTCTGCATCAAAACCACCACAATCCAGGTGGGTGGTCAAGAGGAAGGCTCCCTACACATGGCTGTATAGAACCTCCATTTATCCATCATCAGAAAGGCGCTTATTCCTGGTAAGGATTGTGGAAACCTGGTGCCTAACCCAGAAGCACAGGCTACAACCTGGAGAGGATGCCAGTTTTCCACAGGCTGAGTGTAGAATAACCTCAAAATGTTGTATAAACTAAGATCAAGGAACAATGGACAAATATGTTATAGAATATTAGGATTTAGTCCTAATCCTGCAAACCGTGGTTCAGAGACAGTTTAGGATGGAACACGGATTAAATGTATTTGAAGCACTATACCACCTGTACATAGATTTGGAAGTTTATCACCATCCGCACCAATACAGGCATTCAGTAAGCAAGAACCGGGGAAGAGTTTTTAACTATGTGTATCTACATTAATATATGGTACACAATAAGAACATTGTTTTTCAATATAGATATATAGAATACATAGACACTATTATTGTTTTGAGTCCATATAAATGACGCTGACCTATTTAGCTGTGACACTGGCCTCATCGTCACGTTAAACTGATGTTGTCAGAAAAAATAGAGCAAAATGTCTGTTGGAGGGGGGACTATAAAAGTATTAAAAAAAACACAAAGCAAAATAGATCAAACTAAGGCATCAGGATAAGATGCTGTACTAGTCACATGTGCCTTCTTTTACTCTGTTCAGAAGCAGCCATGCCAGACCAGGCATGTGCAAGAAATGCATATGAAAAACTCCAAAACAGAAATACAAAGACACACTGAGTCCCATGACACCAATACACCTACTAGGTTATCAGAGGTTAGAACTGTTCTTAGCACCTGGAATAGCTTGGTCTCTGTTATACCTCAATCTCCTTGTTCAAATTATTATTATTTTTTTAAAATATTCCATTATATATACATTTATATACTGTATTAATAGGCATCATCAAGAAAGTGTTACATAATGTATATACCTTGGATTTCATACAGCATTCCTCTGAATAGGCATTTTCAGAATTAAAGCATTTTATTTTGTTCTCTTGCAGTATATTTATATATAGTATATTATGCAGTATATTCCAGGGACAAAATATAGAAACTATAGCATTTTTATTCATGTATTACATTGATCTGCTGTATGTACCAGAGTGAGTATCTATTTGTATAGCTGTGAAGACAACTCCCCTGTTCCAGACCTGTATTTTACTTTAGTGCTCATCCTAAATTCCTCCACAACAGGGGAGGGGGATCCTGTACTCTACTGTCGACTGTATATTTTAAAATATAAAGAACAGATATTATATTCATATTTTTTTTTTAAGGAAAACATTTATTCTAAAATTTACTTTTTAAACAAAAAAAGCTTTTTTGATACTGTTTGTTGTGGTCTAAAACAAATAGATAGCAAATAAAAATATTTTATCATGGTTCGGTTTCAGACTTTTTTGTTTCAACTGGGGAGAAAAAAAAACAGTCACATTTTACCGGTTAAGGATTTTGTTTTCAACACAGGCAGGGTCCATTTCTCTGCAAGCTGCACAAGACGGTAGCTCTTCGGTGAAAATGATGAAGAGGGAGTGGTACAGGTTTCAAGACTGACTGTCATTTCTGCCCAGCGGTGTGGAGTGCCAACACTATGCGCAGGACCATCTTGCTGTTGTAAAAAGATGCCAAGTCCATATGACTCAGGGGAACAGGTAACGGGTTAATTCCACACTGAAAAGGAAAGGAAAACGCAACGTTTTGGCTGTGGAGCCTTCAAGTGTTTATTCAGCATGGAACAAACCTGTTACCTGTTCCTTTGCAGCCTTACGCATGCTGACGCAGCTCTCCTCTTGAACTACATACAACTCAGATACTGGTAGTTGTAAAAAAATTGAATCACCTGGGTACATGAGGGACACCAAGTGAACTGAAACTCATGGGATATTCTGGAACACAACAAGGCAGTCTTTTCCACTTGCATTATCCAGGATGATTTGACCTTCTCCTGGAAGAACATGCCACATTCTCCCTGCAGATTTCCGGATGCCTCTGCGCATATGGCCTACATATGCACAAGGTGGCCCAACGCCCTTTTCAGTGACTGCACTGGCATTTCCATTTATTATGCACTACCTGCGGCTCTCTCAATCAGGCTAGGCGATTCTGAGGAAGAAAAAGGCAGTTCACAAACATTACAGGTTCTCTCCTGCAATGGAAGCACACACAGAGGAAACTGAGCTGAAGAGCTCTGAAAAACTGCGTGTAGGATTATGGATCTGGGAGTCAAGTGGAATCTATGTTAAATCTTCAAGGGATTCCCCTCCCCTTAATATATGGACTTCTTAAAGACACGCTAACCACAAGTTAAAGGATGCACATCAAGTGAGCTAGCCCATTCAAAGAACTACAGTGAAAGTGGAGTACAGCAGAGTCTCAGCAAGAACCCACCTAGCTGTGGCCCAGAGAGCACATATTCACTCATAGAGGACGCAAACTCATGGGGGCTCATACAATTATATCAGGCTTTGAGTTGTAAATCTGAATACTGTCTTTCCAGAAAAAAAGAAGTTCTAGCATCAGACTAAAGAGGAAAAAAAGTTTTGTTCAGAAAAACATGGGTGAGGACTGTTCAGGGATGTGGAGGGAATTCTGGAGGCCTTCTTCCTTGCAGGCCGGATGTTTGGGAGGACAGTGGGCACGTGTTGTGGAGGTGGAGTGCTGGGCAGGGTCAACCTCACTGCCCAGACACCACCCAGATCGGTGCTCCCAGTCTGCCCAGTTTGGTTTCTCTGGGAACCGGGAAAGGTGCTTTTGCAGTCATGCTGAATGATGGCTTTCTGGAGCAATTAAAAACAAAAACCCCCAAAGTCATCTGCTGGGATTTCAGATTGATCCTGGGTCCCCCGAACGGCCATCCTCCCACGTTCCCCTGTTAATCCATGGCAACGTCCTGTTGCTCTTTGAACACTTGCACACGAGCCTGTAAAGAATGCAACACAGAACAGTTTGCTAAGAGTTACAAATGACTGATTAGGTGAGATGTGTGACGCGGGGGGGGGGGGACTTCAAACTGCTTTTTGCCACTCACCCCCACCATTGACACCGATAATGGTATAACTCAGCACTCACTAGAGCACCAGAATGCTGTGAAACTCAGATTGCACAACTCCACTCATGTGTGCCCGGTCTTGGGAAGCCTGCTTCTTCACTTGCCAAGACAGTTTAACAGCTAGCACTCATACCCCAGGGGCAATATTTTTCATTATGAAACCCAATGCTGCACCAAAACAACTGGCGAGGATTATTCAGCCTTAAGTGTCTACGAGCTGACATCGATATACAAAAACTCCGAGCACACATGCTTCCAATATCCCTGGCTCCGGACTCGGCGGTCTCCGCAGGCCCAGAGGCTCAGAGAGCGGAATGAGTGGAGGCAGGCGTGGCGAGCAGGTGCCTGTGGAAGATCAGGAGCAGCAGCACAGTCTTGACGTGAGCTGGACAGCACATCCACACACGCCAGCCACGAATTCACGCGCAAAAGCTCCTCCTGCAGTACTGACCCTGAATCAGGTGTTCTTTGTCCTTCGCTGTCTGATGTAGTGCTGTCAAAATTTTACTATAAAGCCATTTTTCTCATGGGATGCTAACTTTTTAGCATACAGCCTCATCTTATTTGTAACCATTCCTATGTTGTAAGGTTGCGTTCTGCCGCCACACTGTCAGATCTGCCTGTGTGTGTAGAGAACTCAACTAAGAATTTGCCTGGGGAGACTTACTCAAAATACGTTAACAAGCACCATCTCCTCTGGCCTGCTTGCAGAACTGCAATACAAAGCGAATTATAATATAATCTAATTAACAGGTAATGTAAACGGTTAAGGATTACATCATCTTTTAACAGTTGGGCTGGGCTCGTCTTAAGCACGACTTAGGGATCAGACTCTTAATCGGGCACAATTTTTCATCTGCAACGCATGGAAACACAGAGCAGCCAGGAAATCCTGCAGGGAAATCTCTGATCAGACCCACCTGAATAACAATTACTTTGAAT